TCTAAAAACACAAGTGAAACCACCCCTGTATCGTTGTCCAGAAGCCCTTCAGTAAATTCCCGCTGTATTCAAAAGACATGCGAAGCACAGTGAGTTATTTGACCCCCCACTCCAGAGTACCTTCTGAACACCACTTCCCATCCTGCCTTTCTTCACTAAAATTCAGTCCCTTGGAGAAGTCCGTTTCCTGTCAGGCGTGGTCGTGCAAACCTGTAAGTAATCCCAGCACTTGGGAAATTGATGCTATAGGACAGGGAGTTCCAGGTCAGCCTGAACTACACAACAAGCCCCTGTCTCCAAAATGAAGATAAAATAGAAAAGCATGCTCTTTCCTACTCTATATGCTTTACATAGACTATTCTCTTAGGCAAAGGCATTTGTTTCATAACTATCTGGTCATTTCTAAACTTCAAGTCAGAATTTCAAGGTCACTTTTCAGAGGATCCGTGCCAGTCCCACAGGTAAAGCAGCCTGCCTCACCAGCTGTGTCCATCCACCATCACCCAATCTTCTCAGCAACAGAAAAGAATTTCTTTGGTTTTATAAAATCTGTCTTTTATTTTTCTCCTCACCCACCTCTCCCAAGCAGTTACACAAAGTCAGGGCATATTTCTCTTTAATTTTTGCTTTCACAGTGTTCAGCTTTACCCAGAAGTGCTGGACATAAGGAAGATGTTTAATAGACATTTGTTGAAAATGGAGAAAATTAAGTAGTTCACTTAAGAGTTTTCTGTGTTTAAATTGTTAAAATAGCTTCCAGGAAAAAATATTTTAATTTCACTCTTGACTAAGACATCTGGGAGAGTAAAAATGAAAAGGCAAGACAGCATTTTTTAATGTGTTTACCTATGCTAAAAAGGTTAAGAATATCTGACTTTATGTGGACCAATTTTGAAAGAGTTCATTACAGTCAAAAAGAGGTCATGATGAAGAAACAAATACAAGTTCAGGAGTTTTGTTGATTGCAGCTAATTGACACCTTCATGGCCATTGGTCACATGAGTCATCTCTAAAATTCTCTTTCCAACTCTGTACATTACAACCATGTGCTTCTCAGGATTTGCCCTCCCTTGATCAAGGGCAAGCAAGGTTATTCTTCTTCTTTTTTTGGGGGGGGGTTTGCTTTTTGGCCTTGTTTTGTTTTGTTGGATGAATATTTCTTATTTAATGCCTTGCTGTCTTACAGGGCACAGATTGTTTTCTTTATAATTTGGCCTATACATACAGTGAATTCTTTATAGTCACTTAAATCAAGTCTGTTGGGTCTAAGGACCCTGTCTCCCAGATGCTGGAATATTGTTGAAGAGAGATGCATTGTTCAAAGTCATGGCTTAGCCCAAGAAATGGTCCTCATTTTTTGCTAGTATTGGCCATGATTGGATAGAGGATGTGGGAGACAATTCTAAGGGATTGTTCCAGCCAGTGAATGTTGTGAAGTAACTGTAGCCTGTGTGTGTCAGCCTTTGTTGAATTGATATCAGCTTCAGTTTAGCTGTTCCTTCTGCCCCAATTCTACTTTCTCTATTTCCTATTCTTATTAATCCAGAAAACATATTTCCCAACTTCTCTCCTTGTTCTTCTCAACAAGAATCACTCCGGGTTAGAGAGATGACTCCATGGGTAAAAGCACTGACTGCTCTTCCAGAGGACTCCAGTTCAATTCCCAGCACCCACGGAGTAGCTGACAATCATTTGTGACTCCAGTTACAGAGGATCCAATGCCCTCTCCTGCCCCCCTTGAGCACTTCACATGTGTGGTGCACAGACATAAGTGTAGAGAATACACCCATATACACAAAATAAAATAAAAATAAAAATACAAAAAAACACTCCTCTGGGAAAAGGGTGGCTCAAGAGTCCACAACACAGTGCTGGTGGGAGCCATGTGACTTACTCAGGGGACAAGGCCTGAGAACAGCATGAGTGGCTCTCCTTGTGAAAAGGTCCTGGAGACCTTCACCCACTGTAGACAGTTCACTGCATAATTTCAGACATGACCCCAGGAGAATTTCTACTTAGTAATGGGTAGAAGTTGATAGCAAATCAGAAATTATGCTACCCAGTCTCCAGCTGGCCCACTGCCAAGGATACACACCATCTACTTCCTTCCTCTATGCCATGGTGTCTCCCCAGCACAAAGAACAATGTAAGAGGGACCACTCACTAATTACTGATCCATGAGACTACTGTAAATAATATACAATTTGACAGGAGCTGTGAGTTGAAGGGTCTGTGTGTGTGTGTGTGTGTGTGTGTGTGTGTGTGTCCACACTACCAAGTTCCTGTATCAGTGTTCTAACTCACAGCTCTTAAGAATGTGAGTGTATCTGTTGACTGAGTCAAAATGAGAATATGTTGTTCACCTCAGTCTCATATACTGCTGAACCCATTAGAAGAAGAGACAAGGTCGCAGACACACAAAGGGAAATTTTGTGGGAACACAAAGAAAAAAATAGACATCCACTCCTTAAGGGGAGGTATCTTGGGAGAAACTGACTTTCCTTGATCTTGAGCTTCTAGACACTATACCTGTAAATAAATTTACTTTGTTTATGGGTCCAATTCTGCAGTACTCTATTATATCAGTACCAGAAGTCTGTCCTGAAGTCTATGGGTTTTGTCTGATGCTCTCTAAATGCCCTGAGCCTGTCTGAGGATTTGAGCCAGGAGCATTCCTAGGAGAGATTCCACAACTGAAGTTTGTAGTTTCCAGTTTGCAGATTCTTCAGACCATGACCTGATTTTTCCAGACCATCTTTTGTTTTCATAACTTTATTTATGTTTGGTGTGAGTACCTCGAGTTGATGATTTGGTTTTAGTGTCCCCTCCAACCTTAGCCTTTCACTCCCATGAGCACCTCCTTTTGTTTTTATTCTACTATTAGGATGATTATTTATGCTATACCCTGAAATCCAAGATCCAGAAATATCCTTGCTAGACTGTCACCAATCTAGGCTTTCCTGAAACAGAAGGTGGGCTGAATACTATCAGAGGCACACATGGCTTATAAAACCTGGATTACTAACTGAGTATTAATCAGTTCACTTAGGGCAGGCATGGTTACAGACCTGTAATCCCAGCTCCAGGGAAATGGGGTAGAAGGATCAGGAGTTCAAGATTATCCTCAGCTATACAGCACATTTGATATCAGCATGGGCTACAAGAGACACTCTCAAGAAACAAACAAAGGAAAATTCATTTTCTTTTCTGATTCCCATTTTTAAATTTAGAAGGTTTATTTTATTGGGCTGTCCACTGTTTCCCTGATGTAAGCCTTAGACTATAATGTGTCAAAACTAGTTAAGGAAAACAAAAGTTTTAACATAATTAAATTTCTAATTAAAAAATAGATACACAAACATGTTTTTCCCAAGAGAGAATGCTTATTTGATCCTTTAGCTCACCCTTCTCTAGTCATATTGTTTCGGAGGCATTTGGATGCCTTGTGGCATTATTTTTCTGCCATCCCATTCTTGGGCCACCACAGGTGCTTAGGTATCTTTGAACCTTGGGACCCTACCCAGAACAGGTAGGGTAGTCTCTTTGTGTAAACACTATTAAAGAGCATCAGGCCTGAGCTTGCCCACTAGAAGACACTGGTGTGACATCCATTTTGTTGCATTTCTTTCAGCTTTCTCTGATGCCCTTGGATGTAGTCAAGGTTCCAGGATTTGAGTGACAAGTTCTGCTCTGTGCTCTGATGACTAAGGCATCGTTTCTGGGTCAAGCTTATCACGACTCCTTTTTCCCTTGGGGAAGTGCTCTCCTAGTCTAATCCTCAGCAAAGCATGGGAAGGCTTCTGGTAGGCGTCCCACAGTTCTCCAAATGTGCTTCAGACAGCTGAATTGCAGGCTCAGGAAAACCAAGGGCTTTCTACCTCAGCAGATTCTGCAGCTCACTCCCTATACATTCTTGGGGAGCCTGCTACAGAAAGAACCTAGAAAAATGTGATCACTCCCTAGGGAAACACTGAAAATGCTAGCTTTATTCTCTGGGTGTACTATGCTGCAGACATTGCTGTCAGGTCTGATTTAGGACATTCTTTTTCTGCATATGATCATCACAGATGAGACTTTTATATGATTTTATCAGATAGTAACCAGTTCTGCCTCCTAAATGCCCCAGGCCTGTAGATTCCTGTCAACTGAAACTACCTTGCAAGATCTGCATGGTCTTGTTTCTACTGACTTCAGAATTCTCTCAATGAACCATGGCACTAGGAGTGTTTTCATGGCTTTTGTAATAACCATAGCATTTTCCTGGCCAAAGTTCTCATTAAAGGTGGCCACACCTGGATGTTTTAGTTTAAAATCTCATGTCTGATATGAATTGGAAGTGAATTAAATGAAAACACGCAGGGGTTAATCTAAAGTAGTATGGGTTTTCTTTATCTTTTAATTTTCTTAATGGATTCTTCCTGTGTAGTGAAGGTTGGTATGCTATAGGTTTGTTTCTTCTGAAGAATGCAAATGGCCATGAGAATTAATCTGTAGCTGTGATCAAAGTTACACATGAGACCTGAGGTATCACTAGAAGACCAAACAATGCAAACCTGACAGAGGAAAAAGAATATCCTGAAAAATAATATCAGCAGGTCTTACAACGTGCTCAAATAAACTGTCAGCTAAAAACAATATAATGAACAAGAAAAGAATCCTAATTTGTTCAACTGAATTGTTTACATTCTAACTCTACTGTTGCTTTTCTAACCTTAAATTTCTTGCCCTTAATTCTCCTTTAATATGTGTACTTCTTATTGCTAGGACACTTTGAGATGAAATAACCATGCAGGCATATAATTTACACAGATACCTGATAAGATAAGGTATGTAAGTATATTGGATTTTCAGCAGCCAGTGTCAATTATTGATTCATTTTGATCAAACATATCCTAACCAATGTAAACTCCATTTCTGTTTTACATGAAACAAGGAGCATATCGGCCCTACGTCTTTCCACCATGCCCTACGTCTTTCCACCATGTACGTGTCTTTCCACCATGCGGTGCTGGACCATGGTGTTTGCTGCACTTCCAGAGGAGGTCCATAATGCAATGCTTCCCCCAAAGATTCTTCCAGCAGAAGAGCTGGACGTATGTGACAGGTACCTGGCTTCCACTTCTTGTTCCAAGCAAGGCTGCACAGCCGGGCTCTGAGCTAGAGGCCTACCTCACCAAGCTAGGTCTTCTGGCTGCTAGCCAGAAGACAAAGGCTGAGAGGCTCACATGACAGGCAGTGGGTACAGGTAGAAACACTGAAGCACAAATCCCCTTGGCCCCAGGGAATCAAAGTCTGGTTGTGTGGTACACCTTCCAAGAATGCCAAACAATGACAGAAAATTACAGTTATAGTAAAGTGTAAAAATGAACTTAAACATCCGAGGCTGGAGATGGAAGGGATACATGATCTATTATCCATGACATTGAGAGGGGGCTTCAAGAAAGCCTCAATCAAAAGAAATGGGTATTTAAAAAAATTAGAACAAAAAAATTGTATAGTAAATGATAAACAAAATTTTGATCCAGACTTTATCTTGAAATATAAAATAAATTCATTTTTATATAAGCAGATTTATATTATATGGCTAACAAATCTGCTTAGGTTCTCTTTGTAGGTAGCTCAGACCTAGGGACTAGAAGCAGCAGATGTCCTATAGGCATTTCCAACTTGCAGCTCAGAGTCATATGTGCCTCTGGATCAATATAAATCTAGTTCAACAAAAAAATTTAATCTTATAGGGTTTTTTTGAGGTTTCCTTTCCCTTCTTCTCCCCTCCTGTCCCCTCCCCTCCCCTTCCTCCCCTTCTTCCTTCCCTCCCTCCCTTCCTTCTTTCTGTTTGTCTTGCTTTCTTTTTTCTTTCTTTCTTCCTTTTTGTTTGTAACTCTATCATGCAGTTCTTAGATGACTGTCACTTCTCCGTGCCAAAGGTGGGTCCACTAAACAAGTCAAACCCACCTAAGACAAGGGGTTGACTCTTTTCTCCTTCACATTCTTCCCATCAGTGTGTGAACAGGCACCCACCTATTTTATTTCTATGCTACGTTATGCAACAGCCAGTGGAGGAAGCAATGCATCAGTCATTTCAAGAACCATCCACAAATTCTATTCAGATTCACTCTCAGAGTTTCCCCTTAAAATGGAACCAAATAGACATCATATAGCTGTCTCCAGTAGCTCAATTCCTTTTCCTGCGGGTTTTCTAACTTTAATGTAATTCACATTAAGAAGAAGGTGCATTTTCAGAGTAGCTAGGCTGGAGTATATGTATCTGAACTTTAATCAACATCCCACTTTATCTGGTCAGTCTCTACATATCTTAAAGATTTTGAATATCTGGTGTCAGACAAGATGGCATTGACCAATTTACCGCACGGAAGGTGAAACCTGAAGTCTCAGCTTGTTCCCATTTGTTTTTTCTCCTTTGTATTCTGACTAAATCTGGGTCAGATGACAGGAACAGGAGCAAAACCTGAAGAAGTCCTCTCAATTCTAGAGAGGGACAAGGAAAGAGAGCTACTATCTAAGAGCTTCTATGCCATCCACAGGAAGTTTTCAAGGGTATTTTCTTACCTTTAAAATCATCCCCCACCCCCACCCACCTACCCTCTATTCAATTTCAGTACCCTAGGTTGGGGAACTCCTTTGCTACACTAGTAGATTTGATTTGTTTAAAAGCCAAAGTGATAGTAGCACCAGCCTGAAACCCTAACATCTATGAGGACACAAAGGGAGAATGTAAGTTGGGAGCTAGCCAACCTGATTCTCAAACAATTTAAAAAAACAGGTAGGAAGTTTCACCATCAAGCCACAGAAAGTGTGGAAGGGTTACTAGAGAGGAAGAAAGTGGGGTACAACAGGGAACAAGACAAGATCCATTCATTGTGCCAAATAAGTACTACACATGGTGCCAAGAGAAGGTATACTAAACAAGTATATGCCTAAAGAAGCCGGTAGATGCCTGAAGAACTGAATTATGGTATAAACCAACACTCCAGTCCCAGGCTTACTTGAATGCTGCATGCATCAGATGTACACAAATAGCCAAACGAAGGTGAAAACTAAACTGATGTTAATGTCACCCCCAAATAGAAGGCAGCTTACTGTCAGGAGCCATCTACAATAATGCTCACAAATTGGCCCATATAAATTTCTATCAAGCTCAACACTATCACTATCTCCAGTGGGATTTCTTCTGTATAGAGTGAGATAGGGTGATAGATATTGAAGATTTATAGAAGGAAATAATTTCAGGTTTCAAACATTAAAAATAATTATATAATTACAGTTTGTTCCAGTTAGTTTTTGTCAAGTTGATGCAAATGAGTCATCTGGAAAGAGGAAGCCTCAACTGAAGAATCCCCTCCATCAGTTTGGCAGGTGAGAATGTCTATTAGGCATTTTTTGATTAATTAGTGATATTGGAGGACCCAGCCCACTGAGAGTGGTACCACCCTCAGCAGGCATCCTGAGTTAATTAAAAAAAAAATACACAGCCGGGCAGTGGTGGCGCACGCCTTTAATCCCAGCACTCGGGAGGCAGAGGCAGGCGGATCTCTGTGAGTTCGAGGCCGGGCTGGACCGATAGCCTCCAAAACAATACAGAGAAACCCTGTCTCGTAAAAACCAAAAAAAAAAAAAAATACACAGCAATCCAATAAACAGCATTCTTCTCTGGTTCCTGCTTCTGTTCCTACTTCCCTCAGTGATCAGGACATGTAAGCTAAATAAACTCTTCCCTTTCTAAGTTGCTTTTGGTCAGCATTTTATCATTTCAGCAGAGAAGCAAACTAGAGCATACTTGCTGGCACATTTACACAGCAACTTTGAGTATAGTTTTATATAGGCTAATACAAGTGGCCTATGAAACAAAATGCTAGGTTTACAAGCAAGGAACTTGGCTGTTTCTCAGTTTACAGAGTGAACCTTTAGTACTGAAAACACACATTTTTAAAGATAACCAATGTTGGCAGAGTCTGAACTGAGTGCTCAGGGCATGGCTGGATAAGAATTTAGAAAGTGACTGATGGAAGCAGAGGCAAACACCCACAGTTAAACACTGAACTGAACCCATGGAATCCAGTGACAGAGAGAGAGGAGCGATGAGCAAACTGGCATAGAATGGGCTGGCAAAACCAGCAGAGACGGCTGATCCAAACAGGGGAGAGATCTTGGACCCCAGACCGACAACTGGGAGGCCAGCATGGGACTTATCCAGACCCCCTGAGTGTGAGAGTCAGTGAGGAGTCCTGGGCAACCTATGGGGCCCTGGGCAGTGGATCAGTGTTTATCCCTGGCATATAAACGGACTTCGTGTGTCCATAACACAAAGAGGGGTGCTCTCTCAGCCTGGACTCTTAGGGGAGTACCTGGACCCTGCCCTGAGTGAAATGACAGACTCTGGATATCCCCTATGTGGAAGGAAGTGGGGATAGGGTAGGAGGCCGGGAGGGATGGTGGAGGGATGCGAGAGGAGGGGAGAGAGAGGGAATTGGGATTGACATGTGAAGCAAGCTATTTAAAATTAAAGTAATAAAAAAAGAAAGCAGGCTAAACAAGCCATGGAGACTGTAAGCAGCACCCTTCATGGCCTCTGCATCAGCTCCTGTCTCCAGGTTCCTGCCCTGCTTGGTTTCCTGTCCTAACTTCCTTCAGTGAATACTGATATGGAAGTTGTGGTGGTTTGAAGGAAAAGGCTCCTGCCATAGGGAATGGCACTATTAGGAGTTGTGACCTTGTTGGAGTAGGTGTGACCTTGTTGGAGGAAGTGTGTCACTGGAAACAGGCTTGGAGGTCTCCTATGCTCAAGCTGTGGCCAGTATGGGACACAGACTGCTTCTGCTGCCTCAGATCAATATGTAGAACGCTCAGCTCCTTCTCCAGCACCATGCCTGTCTGCAAGCTGCCATGTCCCACCATGATGACTAAACTTCTGAAACTGTAAACTAGCTGTTTTCTTTTACAAGTGTTGCTCTGCTCATGGTGTCTCTTCACAGCAATAGAAACCCTAAGACAGAAGTGTAAACCAAGTAAACCCTTTCCTACCCCCCCAAAAAAGAAAATATATTCTACTCTTTGATGGAGTATTGGCTGAAAGGAGTGCCACCAAAACTGTAGCCATGGGTGCCATGATGCTTTCAGAAAAGTCTCAAGGAAAAGCATTGCAAGCAACAGTAGTGACTGTAGGATCATCGAGAAAGGAAATGGTGGAGAGAGCCAACCAGTCAGTTAGTGTGAAACCTGGAGACAAAGTTCTTCTCCCAGAATATGGGGACACCAAAGTGATTCTAGATGATAAGGGTTACTTCTTATTTAGAGATGGTGACATTCTTGGAAAGTATGTGGACTGAAATCACTGTTCAAATGATATCACATGAAGCTGCCCATTCCACTGACATCCTGACATCATGCAAATAATTTCCATGCCTCCCTTTTATAATAAACCAGTGATGCCTAAAAAAACGAACAATTACCAATTCTGTAATAAAAATGAAAAGATTTAGACTCATAGCAACTGTGGTTGAACCCTATTTTCATCTTGATCTTCAGAAGGGAAAAGAAAACAAACTGTATGTGAATGCACTTAACTAACGGTAAATACCAGCTATTAGATTTTTTTCAGACACGTTACTGAATTTGACAGATAAATAACTATTAAATGACAGTTGTCATTTTTTAATTTTGGTTTTTTGAAACAGGGTTTCTCTGTATTGCTTTGGAGGCTGTCCTGCTGGCCTCAAACTCACAAATATTTGCTTACCTCTGCCTCCTCAGTCCTGGGATTAAAGGTATGTGCCACCAACACCCGGAGCACTTGGCTTCTGATTAGATGCATTTTATCTTTTTCAGATTCCTGTTCACTCCTACTGATAGGTCAAGCATCTTTGTATTAGGTGGCTGCTAAAATGAATTGTTTTTGTTTGGTTTGGTTTTTGTTTTTGTTTTGTTTGGTTTTTTAGAGAAAAAATAGACTGTAATGGCCTGGATCAAAGTGTTAAGCTCCTTAAAATTATTTCCAGAAAGATTTAAAATATTCATTGTTTACATTTCAGGGAAATAATTTCACAATCATACACTTGGAAGAAATAATATGCCACCCCAGACAAATGCATATTCTATCTTGATGTCATTATCTGTGAGGCATCCCTGTTGAATGGCCCAGACCTCGAGTGCAGGGAGTGGGCAGTCCAAATTCTCTAGTGCAAACAATAATGTTTGAATATCCTGTTTCTTACCAGTCTTCTGTATACTTCACCCCCACAGAATTCGAGCAGCTTCTTTGCTACAGGCTTCCTACTTCACACAGGAGGGAACCCTGGGCCCACCAATGGATGGCAGGAGCAGTCAACAGGACGCATTCTGTGTGTCAGCCTCTATTTTTTGACTCTATCTCTGCTGCCCCTGTGTAGCCTGTGTTTTGGGTTGAGAAAAGGAGCTCCACAGCCAAAGCCAACTCCTTAGGGTAAGAGCACATGTAAAAAGGAATCAGCCAGTGTTTGGGCAGGCTATGGCCCCTTCTACAAAAGGACACAACACTGAGTATTTATAGCCTTGGTCTAGGGTTCTTCCTCCTCTAGTCAGGCATTAGATAATCTACCTGTTTGCCCTGCTCTCTGCTCTTGACTGTGTGCCTTCCCTGTTGTCAGTTCCCAGCTGTGAGCTGTCCACTAACTAGTCTTCCCATTTCCAATCAGGAATTGTCAAAACCAGAGGAAGAAAAACATTTCTACCCATAATCAGGTGAGTTTCTTCCACTGCCCAACTGTCCTTCCTCATCCCACTCACGCCATTCCTCATCGTCTCACTTCCCTTGCTACAAACTCTTTCATTCATCCAGAGGTTCTTTCCCTACTCCATGCACAATCCCCTTCACCTTCCTTCCTCCTACACTTCATCTTCCCTTCCTTCTATGGAACAGCTCTTCAGTGCCTGGCCCAATTGACCTTAGTATTGATTGATCCATCTAAAAATCTCCCTCTCTTCTTTTGCCTGTGTCTCTGCAACCTGACAGAGCTTTTAGTATCAACTAAAAATGCTTTGAAATGTGTCCCGCGCTACCGTCTCGCCAGCAAGAACGACGCAGAACACTCGGATCCTTCTGCAGTAAAGCTTTAATGCATCTTGAGAGATAGATGATCAGCTTCTTAGAGGGAGACCCCAAGCTAAGAAACCCAGCCCCTTATATAAGCCTAGGAGCTCCGAGTGAGATGTGTAGAGCCGGGATTGGTGGTTTGCACATCACCCCAGATGACGTCACGGGAGAGGCACAGTTTAAACGGTTAACTCCAACTGACAGCGACAGTTAACTCTAACTGACAGCGACAGTTAACTCCAACTGACAGCGACAGTTAACTCCAACTGACAGCGACAGTTAACTCCAACTGACAGCGACAGTTAACTCCAACTGACAGTGGATGTCAGCGCCATCTTCTAACGGCAATAGCGATAGCGAGGGCGGCTCCTCACATCTCCCCCTATTCATTTATTTTTGAAGCAATAGGACACCCACAACTTTGGAGTGGAGATAGAGGTCAAATCCCCATGTGCAAATTCGGAACATGTACAAAGCTCCTCTCCAGGGTCTTATCCCCAGAGGAAGTCCTGACCAGTCCGATGTCTTTTTTCTGGGGGAAGGAGATCATGACATAGAACCTTCATGCAAGATGACTTATCTCCCAGGAGAAAGTCGTTATACCGCAGACCTCTCCTGTGCAGTGCTTAGCCTTGCAACTCCTTGGGCTGCTGAAGCCTACCCACTCTATCCCGTGCAATGAGACTAGCCTCGTGGGGTGCAAGAGCTGGGAGGCCAGCGACCTATTGCTTTAACATGGTTAACCAAATGTCAGGGGATGCTCCGTGTTCTAAGGCAGCAAGTGCTTGTGCCACCACCACTTTCTCCTTTTGTTTGGGCTCTGAGCGTACACACCATCCAAAGCATCAACACTATTCCACAGCAGAGAACTAGGCTAAATGATCCTACCCCCACCCATTCCTTAAAATAAGAAAATGCAGATGAAATCCAGGGGAGAGGTCTTCCATCAGAGAAAGATCCAGATGCGTCGAATTCACTTGCAGGATCGCCATTCTCAACTCACGGAGTGTCTGCTCAAACTCAAAAGTCCAATTCTGTAATAAATGTTGAGACAGAGCTTTTGACAGGTTAGCTGCTCTTGTAAAATTCTCATATTGTACTAAGTGACACAAAGGCCAGGCAACTTTGTTCACATCCCAATTTGGCCATCTGCCACAATATATCCAATTGTTCCTGAACCAAATTAATCTGTTGGTTTACCAACATCAGGCCTCCTTGTATCTGAGAATTGGCAGTGGCCTGTTTATCTAGGACCATGGTCACAGTGGCCTATAGTTCATTAATGGTTTGAGTTGTCTGCACAGTGGCAGAAAGTGCAAGGGCCGAGGCGGTAACCGAAGCAGTAACCGCGGCGGTGGCTATCAGGCCCACAATAATAGCAGAGATCCCAAAAATCTCGCTTTTCCCTAAACAAACTCAAATTACTTGGCGCCTCAACAGGAGCTGGAATAAATCGAGGCATGCGCATTACCAAAGCAAAAGGGTGCTTAATAGCATCCCAGCATAATGCATAAAAACAATTCTAAGCAGAACAATTTATTTCTTTCTGATTCTTACCTAAGGTATCATTACTCACAACCCAAATAAAGGGCAGCTGAATAATTAGTTCTCTTAAAAGGGGTATACTTAACATTGGAGGAGGACCAATCAGATGATCCAGAGCTCTGTCCCTCACTCAGACTGTTGCCTAATGCCCCTTTCCAATCAAAAGTAATCTGTCCCTTCTCACTATCATAGGAGAAAGATCAGTACAGCTTCCATTAATTCAAAAGGATTAGCATTAGATCTTTCTGGATCCATATGAATAAAATTATCCTTTAATGAAGAAATCACAGTAAAGCACAAGCTTCCTACTAATGACAAGGTTCTCTCATCCTGAAAACTCTGTATCTGAGGATCTAAAGGCAAAAAGGCAAGCCCCAACTCTCTATTATTTGTGAAAAATCTAGGGAACACCTGGGCATTCTGCATCACTGGCATCGGTAGGGGAAGGTAGACATGATGGCCCACCGTAACTCTCCCATCATACTAGGAACCATCATCCCGAGTAGGAGAGTCTTCATCACCCACTTGGCCTCCATCCTTCTTATTCTGGAGTTGTGAAGGAGCTCTTCGAGTGAGTCTTTCAGGGATCCACAGGGGGTTTTCTTCCTCCTGTGGAAAAACACACACAGCTCCCCTGGATCTTATAAGAATAGGATCCGGGCCTTTCCAGAGATCAGTCAAGACATCTTTCCATTTTACCATTTCTTTTGGCCTATCAGGCTCTAAACTGTGGCGATCAGCCGCAGTGTGGCCTTGGGCATCACAGTTCAAGAAATTAAGGGTAAAAAGTGCCATGGATACAGCAACTCTTGGTACCGAGGGTAGAACATCCTCAATACTCCCCTTTTGTTTAATCAGATATGATTTGAGTGTACGATGGGCACGTTCCACAATGCCCTGTCCTTGAGGGTTATAAGGTAGGCCAGTTAGATGGGTAACATCCATTTGCCGACAAAACTGTCGGAATTTTTGAGAGGTATATGCTGGTCCATTGTCTGTTTTTAAAATTCTGGGTTTTCCCCAAGCACTCCAGGCCTCAAGGCAATGTTGAATCACATATGAGGCCTTTTCCCCTGTTAGGGGTGTGGCAAACATTACGCCAGAACAGGTGTCAACAGAAACATGAACATATTGAAGCCTTCCAAAAGAGGGAATATGAGTAACATCCATCTGCCACATCTGCAATGGTCTAATGCCACGTGGGTTTATTCCCATGTGGGGAGTAGGTAAGAATTCGCAGCAATTCTGGCATTGAGTAACAATTTCCCTAGCCTCTTTCCTGGATAGAGCAAAACGACGGCGCAAGGTCTCAGCCGTCACATGAAAGCGCTTATGGAATTCTTTTGCTGCTTGTGCATGGGTAGACAAGGCAGCGGCCACCAGCTTTGTAGCCTTGTCCGCTAAGTCATTCCCTAAGGACATGGGACCTGGGAGTCCAGAATGTGCTCGGACATGGGTAATGAAAACAGGAAATCTCCTATTTAACAAGGCAGCTTGTATCTTCTGAAAGATGTTAGCAACTCTGCTGGAGGATCTTATTATTCCAGCTATCTCAAGGAGATTAACTGCATTAACCACATAAGAGGAATCTGATACAATATTGAGGGGTCCTGGAAAAGCCTCAAGAACCTCCAGTACTATCAGACATTCTACAACTTGAGGTGAAGTTTCATTATATTGTTTAGATATAACCCTATCCTTGACCACATAAGC